CGTGCCCACGATCCAGGGCTGGCTCGGCTCCGGGTTTAGGTGGTTGCCAGAAGCTTCTTGCACATGGAGCTGAAGGCCGGGGAAAGTGGGAAGGGAAGAGCCGAGGTTAACAAGGGGCTGGGCCCAGGCGTGGCTGCAGCACAGGTGCTCAGGTGTCGGGGCAGCCACGCACAAGGCAGAGGGTTCTTTCTGTCTGCAAGGGCTGGACCCAGATCCCATCCCAGCTCAGCCAGGGCTTGGTTGTGCACCCTGGGGCTTTCTTAATCTGACCCGTTTCCCCAAATAGACCCGGCGGGAGAATGCAGTAAAAACAATGTTTTAAATAGCAGTGCAGGCCCACAACACTTATCTGCAATTTCGAAACTCAAAAAGCTCTGAAAACCAAGAGTGTGTTCATAACTGTTCCGGCAGCACAACCTGACCAGAACTGAAGTAGACCTGCCCTCCTCCCATCGAAGCCCTCAGGGACACAAGCCCTCACACTGGGGTCTCCCTCCCACTGGCTGCTGTCACAGGCACCAGGGTCACTTACCCCAGGACCTTCATAGAAGGCACTTTGGGCCTCCCCGGGATTATCCAGGAGGTCATCACTGTCGAGCTGCAACAAGACCCGCCCCCACCCAAAGTCGAAGGTCAGCAGGGCAGGCCCACGGTCTAGAGCTGAAACCAATTTATGGTCACCTGGGAGAAAATAAAGCCCAAGCCTGGCCTCTGGAGGTCTCCTGACAGGCCTGCCTTGAACTAGAGAACCCTGTCTCTCCCTCTGCCCAAGCTGTGGCCCTGCCTTCCACTTCCGCCTCTGGCAGCAGATCCTCCAGGAGCAGTCGCACACACCACTCCTCACTTTCCCCACCCCCAGCTTGTCGGGAAGACGGGCGTGCACACGTGCCCAGTGCACTTCAGGTGGACTGGGCAGGAGATCCGGACCTGCAGTCAGACACGGGCTTCCAGCACTGCAGTTCAGAACGCTACCAGCTGTGCCACCAGGCTAGGCCCTCAGTCAGAATCTTAACTACAACTTCATGACAGTCCCTGAGCCAAAACCACCCAGCTAAGCTGCTCCCAGATCCACAACCCTCAGAAACTTCAACAGCCCTCACAAGTATTTTAGGTCACTACCAATTGGGAGTACTTGTTACACAGCGATAGATAACTAGTACACCTCCTCATGACTCAACGCACTTGCACTCTTCCCCACTTGGTTCCATTCTCTAGGCTGGCATTACATTAGGACATCCTCCTGCTTAATAACCTATCAGAGCTGCCTGTCACATTCAGAATAAAAATCAAAACTCCTCTCTCAGGGTCTTCCAGGCCTGCATAACCTGGTGGCTTTTATCTATCCCATTTTCACCTCCTACTCGTTTCCTCTCCAGTTTGGCCCCACCAAACTTTCCCACCTTTGTACCTGCTCTCCCCCTGCCAGAAGCATCATAGTCAACTACTTTTGATCCTTCAGGATGAGGATGGCTAACCTTCAGTATCATCTCCCTGTGGTCACCCTCTTTGACTGCACTAGCTAAAGGAGTCCCTGCGCCCCATTTTCTTTTAAACCTCTTTTGTTGTGCAGGTAACATTATTTTTTATTATACTCTACATCGTGCTTCTCATCATCACCTTTATTTATTTATCAAGGAGATGTATGTGGTGTGAGGCCAGGGATCTCTCATCTTTTGTTCACCACCATAACTCCAGTGCCTGGATCGTGGATGGAGAGGGCAAATGTTTACTGAATTAAGGGGATGTATCTAGTTGCCTGTTGCTTCAAACTCTACAGCCCTGTACCCAGCAAATGCCTCTCCCTGTCCTAGTACTTACCTTCTCTGATCCATGCAAGAAGTCATTGAGGGCCTGAGGGTCACTGAAAAAGAGAAAAGGAAGAAACACTGAGGAGGTGAGGAGAGGAGGAGCTGGGAAGGGGAGGGAGAGGGAAGGGAGTGTTTGAGCAGAGGGCAGGGGGTGGGAACCCGTTACTCACCAAATCACGTCTAGTAAGCATCTCCCATCCTCATCATCCATCGCCACTGGATGGGGTGGGGTCAGGAAGAGGGCGAGGGAGACAAGGTTAGATTCTGGTAAGCTTGCACAGCCCCCTCCCTTCAGGGGAGACCCCTGGAGGGGTCCGAGTCCCTGTGCTCTCGAGTCTTTGGGAATAAATGAGGGCAAAGGGAACCTCCCAGGTACCTTCTCTACCAGAAACCCTCAACCAGGTTCAGCTTCCTTTCCTTCCCTCTCCATGCCCAGACAGTCCTAACAACTGATGACAATGGTGGTGACGCTATCAACCAAGACTCCGTGAGCCCTGATCGCCTGCAGTGCTGTGCCAAGTGCTTCACACACGTTTAGCCACAAGAGTCCTCACAGTACCCTGTGGAGGTGAGGGAGGCTGCCACCTCGACTTTACAGACAGAAATGGAGGCACCAAGACACTCCTTCCTATCTCCCAGCAGCAGGCAGCAGAGCAGGCCTTGAGCCCAGGAGCCTACACCCTTCCCACCAGGGTCCCGTCGCCCTGAACACAGGGCTGGGCCAAGTCGGGGTGCGGGTGGGGTCTACCTATAAGGGAGTGAAGGCAGCAAGAAGGGTCTTACAGCTCAAGGTTCTGGGACCCCCGTGAAGACATATGCAAGGTGTTTTTTCAAGACAAGGAAGAGGAATGGGG